ACCGAAGAAGATATTTACAATTGCGGTACCCACAATTGGATATGGTTGGGTCCTTCGCCAGGAAATTGTTGTTTTTGGCGTCCCCAGCCCTATAAACGTAGAAAAACAGGAATGTGTATATATATATATATATATATATATATATGTAAGCGTATACCGATACTTATACTACGCCGTTGCAACAATTCGTCGCGGTTTATGGGTAAGTCAAGATGATGCAAGTTTCGTCCGTTCCTTTCGCGTGAGCGGGCGGGCGGAGGCTGACCCCTGTCCCGACCGCGCCAAGCTGTACCCCCTCCCGCCCTGGAATCCCAGCGGGCTGGGTCAAGACGGGTCGGATACCAAATCCGGGAATTCTAAGTCTGAGATTTCACCCTTTGAAATCATATATTGTGTGTGAATGTACAACACTTGAACCATCGATCGCGCGCTGCGCGCTCGGTTCTAGCTGAGGTCAAGGACAAGTCGCTGCAAACGTCGCTTGCATGCGTCCGAGAAGGTCGCACAATGCCTCGAGCAGGCCTTCCAAAGCCCTCGCCTGTAGCGTCTGTGCTGCCCTCTGAAACCAGAGCCAGAACGGCTGCTGGCGAGGCGAAGAATGGAGCAGTGGATCTGGGGAGGGTGGGGAGCGGTGCTGTCTGAATGGAAACGCTGGGGATGTCGACGGGATCACTCTGGCCAGGAAGCGGCAGAACGGAACGAGACGCGACTCCGAGACGAAACGCACGGTGGAGGGGCGGGAACGTGCTCTGGAGGAGCGTTTCTGGAGCACGCTGGGTGATGGCTTCGGGGCCAGAGGGTCGACTACACATGTGGATGCCGGGACGCCTGGGGGGCTCATGAGGCGTACTGAGAACGCTGCCGGGAAAGCGCCACGAGAGGCCAAAGTCACTTCAAGACGCCCAGGGTGGCCGACCTCGAAGACGGCCCAAAAAGTCTCCACGAGGTCTCTGAAAAGAGGCCCTTGAAAGCCCCAAGCGGGACAAATCAGTAGTACCAATATTATACGCCACCGGCGAATCACCGACGCCTCCTGGCTTTTTGAGAGCGCCTATGTGGCCGAAACTTGGGCTAGATATAGCTTGGCCAAACTATAAGGGAACACGCGAGGAAGAGGAGAATGAGGAGAACAATAAAATCGGAGGAGGAGGAGGAGGAGGAGATGAAGGAACAGGCGGAGTAGACCTTTGGTGAGCCTCTTCGGGCACTCTTGGGGTCTCTTGGGAGCTTCCTGGGCGCCTCTGGGAGGCCTCTTGGGGGTCTCCTTCGGCCTCTTCGGGGCCTTTGGGGGCTTGCTCGGGGCCTCTTTGGTAGGGCGTTCCTGGGCCGTCTGAAGCCGTCTTGGGGGCTTCTCTGGACCATCTTGCGGCCCTCTTGGGGTGCTTCAGGGCCGTCCTGGAGGGCATCTTGGCCGGCATGGAAGCCTCTTGGGCCTTCTTGGGCCCCCCTCTGGGCCGTCTTTGGGGCTTCTTGGGCCGTCCCGGGGCCATCTTGGATGACTCTTGGGTATTCTGGGGACGATTTTGGGGGTCCTTTGAGCCGTCTTGGGCCGTCGGAAAGCCGAAAAGAAGCAAATGCCCCAATGCTTCAAAAACCTATGGAAAATCAATGAATTTGGCCTCTTCGGCCCCTCCTGGAGGACCTCTTGGAGGCCTTTTGAGCCGTCTTGGAAGCTTCTTGGGGGCCTCTTGGGCTGTCTTGGAGGTTTCTTCGGCGAACTTAGAAGCATGTCGGACTCTTTGGGGCTGTCTTGGCGGCCATCTTGGACCATATTGGGCGAACTTGAGGGCCATATTCGGCCACCTGAGCCGTCTTGGAAGCCATCTTGGCCGTCTTGGAGGCCATCGTGAGCCGTCTTGAAAGGTTTTTGGGGCGCCTTTCGGGTGGCTGGCGCGCTCGGCCGAAGCCCCAGGGAGGAGTTCTCTCGGAACATAACCAAAACGAAACCAGTAGGATCCAGCACGCCAGGCACCCCTGTGATAAATCAACAAGTGGAGACGGGTCGAAGACGCCTACGGCGAATCACCGCCGCCCCCTGCCTTTTTGGAAGCGCCTAAGCTCATGCCCGTGAGAATAAACACTAGGGGATAATAAAGTTCGGGGTTCAGGGAGAGATAATAAAAGTAGCCCAGCAGACCTCAGCATAATCTCGAAGTAAGAGATGATCAAGAGGAGACCAAGCCGAGCACGTTTTGAGACATCCTTGGCGTTTAGTTTTCATAGAAATATCCTCAACAATGGCTTATCTCTCATGAAAATTGTTTTTTTGTAAGTGCTCGTGTAGGGTAGCTCATGTGCCTCAATTTCCATGGATAATCAACCCCAGAGATAAAAAAGTTCAGGCGAGCGTGGGGACAGAGAGAAATATAAAAGAAGAAGAATACAGTAGAAGAATACTAAGAAAGAAGAAGAAGAGGATAATAAGAAGAGGACGAAGAAAGGACAAATCCAAAGTTCCAAATCTATCAATTTTAATTTACAAACGCTTTATGAACATTGATTTTTTTAAGTGCTCGTGTAGGGTAGCTCATGTGCTTCATTTTCCATGGATAATCAACCCCAGGGATGAAAAAGTTCAGGCGAGCGTGAGGACATATAGAAATATAAAAGAATAAGAGGGAAGTAGAAGAATAATAAGAACATTGCTCGTTTCGTTTGAGTCTGCCTCCCAAAATTATTGGTTTCGCTTGACACATCCTGAAAAAGTGGGATCGCTTCGCTTGATGTTGCTATATCAACATCGCTTGATGTTGCTATCTCAACATAGCGTTTCGAGGTGATAATGAAGTTCGGCCTCAGCGCTCGCCGCCCAATTTGAATTTTGTATAGGGCGACGATAATCAACTCTAAACACTGAAGGGGGGGGGTCCCTTTATTATCATCGGCATGCGGTTATGTGGCCGAACGCTGAGGCCAGACCTGCCAAGCTATCGGACCACGTGTTCCCCGAATCGGTTTGGAAAGCCTTCGGGGAACACGTGGGCATCTTGAACGTCATCTTGGCCGCCTGGAAACCATTTTGACCCTTTCGGGCCTTCTTGGAGGACGTCTTGGAGGGCTCTTGGGCCGTCTTGGAGGCCATCTTGAGCGTCTTGGAGGCCTCTTGGGCAGTCTTGGGGGCCTCTTGGGGCCGTCTTGGGCCTCTTGGGCGATCTTTGGGGGCACTTGGGCCGTCTCGGGCCGTCGGAAGCCGAAAAAAGCAAATGCCACAATCCTTCAAAAACGAATCAGAAATCAATGATTTTAGCCTTTTCGGGCCTTCCTGGGGGGCCCTCTTTGAGGCCTCTTGGGCCGTCTTGGGCCATCTTAATGCCATCTTCGGCCGTCTTGGTGGGCCCCTGGCCCGTCCAACGCCGTCGGAAGCCGTTTGGGGGGCCTTTCTGAGCCGACTTGGGGCCCTCTTGGAATGCTCTAGGGCCGTCTTCGAGGCCATCTTGGGCGTCTTAAAAGCATATTGGGCCGTCTTTGGGGCCTCTTGGGGCCGTCTTAGGGGCCTCTTGGGCCGTTCTGGGGCCATTTTGGAGGCATTTTTGACGATCTTTGGGCGATCTTTGGGGGCTCGTGGGCCGTATCGGGCCGTCGGAAGGCCGAAAAGAAGCAAGTGTCAAAATCCTCCAACAACTCTTCAGAAATCAATGACTTTGGCCTTGTCGGGCCTTGCTGGAGGCCCTCTTGAAGATCTCTTGGCCCGTCTTGGGCCAGCTTCGAGTCAACTTCGGCCATCTTGGTGGGCTCCTGGCCTGTCTGACGCCGTCGGAAGCCGTTTGGGGGGCCTTTCTGGGCCGGCTTGGGGCCCTCTTGGGGTGCTCCAGGGCCGTCTTAGAGCCATCTTGGGCGTCTTGGAGGCCTCTTGGGTCGTCTTTGTGCCCTCTTGGGGCCGTCTTGGGGGCCTCTTGGGCAGTCCTGAGGCCATCTTGGAGGCCTCTTGGGCGCTATGGGGGCGATCTCTGGGGCCTCTTGAGCCGTCTTGGGTCGTCGGAAACCCGAGAAGAAGCGAACGCCTAAATTCTTCTAAAACCTAAGGAAAATCAATGATGTTGGCCTCTTCGGGCCCTCCTGGAGGACCTCTTGGAGGCCTCGTGGGCCGTCTTGGAGGCCTCTGGGGGGCCTCTGGGGCCGTCTTGGGCTGTCTTGGACTCTCTTGGGCCGTCTTGGAGGCCGTCTTGGACCATCTTGGGCGGACTTGGAGGCCATCGGAGGCCATTTTGGAAGCCATCTTGGGCCAACGTGGCCATCATGGAGGCCATCTTGAGACGTCTTGGAGGACAAATTCTGCAATTGAGGTCCTTTCCGAGTGGCCAGCGGACCGGGCCGAAGCCCCAGGGGGAGTTCTTTTGGAAAAAGAACCAAAACCAAAACCGAAAGGATTCAGCACGCCGGGCACCCCTGTGATGAATCCATAGGGGGCGGCGAATCCAGTGGCCTACGGCCCATCCCGCCACCGCGCTTGGGCTGTAGGATAGAAGCCTCTGGGATGTTCTTAAGATATCGTGAGAGGCCTCTTGGGAACTTCTGGGGCGCAGTTTTGAAACCCTTTGACGGCCGTTTGGGGGCCTCTTGGGGCCTCCTGTGAGCCTCCTGGGGGGTGGGGGCCTCGGGGGGGGCCTCTCGGAAGCGTCTTGGGAGCTCCCGAGCGGCGTCTTGGGGGCGGAACGCTCGAATGGTGGGTTCGTGCTCCCCCCTCTTGGAGCCATTCTTGGGGCCGTCTTGGGGCTCTCTTGGACCGTCTTGAACGCCTCTTGGCCGTTTTGAGGCCCTCTTGACTGGTCCTTGTGCCCTCTTGGGGGCCTCTTGGGCCGTCTTGGGGCGGTCTTGGGGGCCTCCGGGGCCATCTTGGAGCGTCGGAAGCTCGAGACGGCGATGGCGTGAAACACATCGAAAATATCAGGAAGACCACAGATTATTGTACCGCAGGGCCCTATTGAGAGTTCTCTTGGGGACCTCTTCGGCCGTTCTGGTGTGGTCTTGGGGTCCTCTTGGGGCCATCTTGGGCGTTGTTTTTTTCTCTCCACAGAGTGCGGTGCCATGATGTCCCAATCAGACAAGCACCTCTGGGGCTTTAAACGGACAAGTGAAACTGCGGCAAACGACGATCTACCCTCAAAAGGGGAATCACGAAGCGTCGCGTGCCGAACGCCAACTGGACAGACAAGGGGCGGGAGAGACAAGAGAGACAAACAGGAGGAGCTCGATAGTGTGGGATAGAGGGGGAGAAGGGAAAGATATGCAGAGAGAGACATGAAACAACGGCAAACTAGACATGCTCACAGTACAGCACGTGCCAAAGGGGGAGAGGTGGGTGCAGCTCCCAGAGAACATTCACAAACCTTCGAAAGGCATGGCCCCTCGCTCATACCTATGGCGGTTCCACGCCGTGCTCTTCCCGCATGTGATCACCCAGCACGCCCTGCACATGCGCATGGTTGACAAAGAACCAAATCCCCAGTATCACCAACATCAACAACAACACGCACGCAGTAAACCCTCCAAAATTCAGTTCCGCGAGCAGCGACACAGCTAATCCAAGGCACGTGCATCCTAGCCCCAAAAACAGCATTGGTGCTTTCTGCATTCCCGCGGTGTTCTCAAAGAACCACCTCGACAAGAATATAGGCAATATATGCGATACGCCTAGCAGCACCGCAGCATACAGCACCGATGCCAAAGTAAAGGAGAACGCCAAACCCATGAGGATACCAAACCAAAGTTTCGTCCAGCTGTCTGCGTTCATGATGGCATCGGATGGTTCCATCAAGCCCTCTGCGGCAACAGTGAACACGAGAGCCGACACGATCATAACATTCTCATACCTGCCAGTCAATCTCTTCTTGATGCTGTCATCAATCGTACGTGACGTGTCCGAAGTCTGGGAGCCCAAATAATACAACATATCGAACCAACTTCTGAACGACTTGACCTTGCCGTCGGCACCGCCATCGGACTCGCTGTCCTCCGTCTCCAGCTTGGCAGCGCCCAGTGCGTGCCTCATTCTCACATTGGCGTCGCTGTCAGACTCGCTGCCAACAGCGCTCATCCTCGCGTCGTGTTCACGACTAGTCGCGCGCTTGAGTGACCAGCTCCCCCTCGCTACAAGATCAACCAGATGGGCAGAAAACGCAGTCTAAGCAGAATCGCACACGAGCGCCGACAAGACAACACGGTATATGTCACGCCACGGCGAGCCACAATCACACCTTGATATGGGCAGGTGCCTCGCTGGTGACGCCCAAGCCCAAATACGAAGGCGGCTCGAGGAGAAACGGCTTGAGCCAAAATGGCTACAGAGGGGCCATCTTGGGCGTCTTGGGGCGCTCTTGGGCTGTCTTGGATGCCTCTTAAACCGCCCTTGGAGCCTTCTTAGCGCCCTCTGAGAGCGTCTTAAAATTCCAGGCGCGATCCCAGTGCGCTCCCGAGGAGTCGGTCCAGAAGCCACCAGCCCAGTGCTCCGATGTATGTATGTACGTACGTACGTATGCACGAATGTACGTATGCACGAATGTACGTATGCACGTATGTACGCATGTACGTGTGTGCGTATGTGCGTATGTGCGTATGTGCGTATGTGCGTATGTACGTATGTACGTATGTATGTATGCATGCATGTCTATACATACATGCGCAGACAAGACTGCAGTGGCGCTTCGCGCCATGCGCCTTGATCCTTCACGTCTACCATGCAGACAGAATGAGAGAGAGAGGTTGATCAACCCAAACAACGATCGCTGTTGGTAGCAGTTTTCGCCGTCACCGTGGTTGTATGGTTGCTCTTTCTCCTTCCCTCATGATCCTCTTCCTCTTCCTCGTTCTTGCCTTCATTGCCCCGCGAAGTCTTCCCCGTCCTCCTTAGATTTGTTTGCGGAGGCTCCTCCGAGGCGAGCTTCTGGACAATAGACCTGAGTCAACAAAAAAGGTGGCCCCAAGAGGCTCCCAAGAGGCTCCTGGAATGCCCAACAAATCCAACATACCGCCCAAGGCGGTCCGAAAATATTCCCGAGATGACTCGGCCGTGGGGACAGAGACCACAGCCCTTCAGGCATAATTCGAAAGCTGGACCTCGTCATTGCGACGCCGCATGATAAGCTCACACCTTGCTGTTCTCAAGTTCAGCTGTCAAGTAAATATCTCCCACCCAGAGGATCGTAGGTCCCTCTTTCCTTGTCCACGTGTAACAACCGCCTGCCCAGGAGAGACCCGGCGGGGTTCATAGCCCTACGAAGGCGCCAAGGCAAAAACGAAGAGGAGAAGGGGGGAAGACGTGAAAACTGTTTGGTTGCAGCGAGGCGTCGCGCCAGCTTGCGCGATAAATTTCAGGACCATGACATCCGCCCATATGATGTCTTGAAATCCGCGGTCCCAGGAGGTCCCGACCGTTTTTCCAGGGATAGTTCTTCATCCTGGATCAATGTTTGTTTGCCCCCGGGCCCGAAAAAGGGCCCTGGCCCACGAGGCCGACATGGGGCAACACTCGCCCGCCTAACAAGCATCGGATCGTAGGAGATCTGGGGAAGAAAGGAAGGGGAGGCTTCCCATGCGCGTGCCTCACTCACCCACGCAGCAGGCGGGGGCACGGGGGGCTCCAAGGTCGCGCCCTCCCCGTAGCTCCAAAAGGACTTTGGCCACCTGGCGCCGCGGGCGGGGCAGGGGGGTACCTCCTCGACCTTCTTCGGCGTCCTCCGCCCCCTCGCCTTCCTTGAAACTGGCGAGGAGAAAGGAGCCCTGCACAATGCCAATGTGACTCTAGCGCGGACCCAAGCGGTGGTTTTTACAACACATGGGTGCAGCCTACGTAAGTCCATGTGGGCGACCCAGGGGAACCTAGATCAAAAAGATGTCATCTGTTGGGGGGGGCTGGTTTTGCTTCCGCCGCCTTCAGCCCACTTCCACCGTCGGAGGCGGCCTCGATCTACGTCCGCCTGCTCTCCGCCGAGGGAGAGGTACCATATTCTCGATGCCTCGAAGGCGAGGGCCTTTCTGGAGCGCCTCATGCAGGTTCAGGCGATAACAGATATTGACGCGCAATAGATGTGATGCACATTACGCGGTGTGATTTATTTGATTGCAAATATGGCACGAACTGGCGGAACCCGTTGGCCCCGTGTCCCGGAACCCTTGCAGACACAGGCGCGACCCATCGGCGCAACATGCGGCGCCACGAGACGTGTGAGGGGTGCGCCGAAATGGGGCGATGCCGCCATGCGGACTTTGCCACTGAGGCCTTCGGTGGAGCTCTCTAAGGGGCCACGAAACGTGTGATGTCTGTGCCAAAATGGACCGGTGTCGCCATGCAGACTTTGCCACTAGGCCCTTCGATGGAGCTCACCCTGAGGCCACGAGACGTGTGAAGGGTCTGCCGAAATCGGCATGCGGAGAGCAGAGGCAGGATGGGGGGGAGCAGGAAGGAAGGAGAAGGAAGGAGGAGGAGAAGGAGGAGGAGAAGGAGGACGCGGGGCGCTGCGGACTCAAAACAAGAGCCCAACACAACAGGATGGCTGGGAAGATGGTGAGATGTATAAATAAATTGCAGCAAAAGATGTGACGAAACCGAGAACTGAAAAATCGAGCCCTCCGCCCCAGAAGGCGCCCAGGATCCCGAAAGAGGCCCCAAGAGACTCTCCAAGACCCCCCCAAGCCGCCCCAATAAGCTCCCGTGAGGCCCCAAGAGGACCAACAACGTCAGGCCCCAGGCCCCAAGAGGACCAACAAATACCGCCAAGAGCCCGCCGAAAGCCCCCCAAGAGACCGTCACGAGAGCTCAGGAGGCCCCCTGGAGGCCTCCCGAGTTCTCCAAGAGGCCTAAAAAGAGGCGCCAAGAGGCCCCAAACGGCCCCACCGAGGCTCCAAGAGGCCACGAACGCGCAAGCAAACGCCTGCGATGGCACAACACGGGCCGGCGGAATGAGCGAAGCGATTAAATAAATTGCAGCAAAAGCTGTGACGAACGACAACTGCGAAAAGTAACGTGAATGGAGCAATAGGAAGCCGCACACAAACACGTATACGGTCTGGGACTTCCAAGCGTAGGGACTTACACATTTGCATGCAAGGTATTGCCAGGGCCCATGCAAGGCGCAACACCATTGGAAGATTCTATGGGTTCCAATGCACAACAGGGGTCCTCTAGGCAGGCCCTAGGGATGGGGATGAATCGGCAGTGCTGTTTTTTGCAAGGATCCTGAGAGCGCAGGCGGCCGTCCCAACCATTAGACCTTGAAGAACTCTAGGAACTCCCTCGGCTGTTCCTCCATTGCCCGCGTCATGGCCCAACCCTGCGCGCCTTGGCTGCTGCTCCGCGCCACTCGCAGACGCCGGCACGTCCTCGCTGGCGACGCCGCTGTCGAAGCTCCTGCGCGAACGCTGGCGCAGGGGGCTCCGAGAGCTGCTCCGTCTCTCCGGAGGAATCGGGGGCACGAGCTCGCCTTTCGCAAAGCCAGCTTGTGCCTCGCGAGCGCTGGCGAATACACGGGCGCGCTTAGAGCAGATGGGATCTGACACGGGGGCGGGAGAGGGGCGAGAGGGGTTCATCACAAAATCATAAGGCTTCCACTCCCAGGCCATGGAAATCACCAGAAATTTCGTCCACCATCGGGCAGTAGATAGTTATCACGCAAAAGCGTGTGAACCAGTTACGGCGACACGAGCTGCACTACTACAGGGAAGAACAGACGAGTGAGTGCTTTCTTGGGTGTTTTCACGGAGCGGGGAAGATGGAGACAAGGAGTTGCAGAGGGGGAGGGAGAAGGGCGACGATGAGGAAAAGAGAGGATCAAACCCCTTACACTCTAGCCGAGGGTGAAATCCGAGTGGACTTTACCTTCTCCTCCTGCGCTATAGCCTGGGCTTCTTCTTTTATGGCAAGACCGTGTACTGGGGAATGGCGCCGTCGCCCGGGAGGACTCGATTCCCTACCAGGGAGACCAGAATACAGGCGGGTTATTGCGCACAGGACGCGCGACAGGACACAAGACTCTTCCGACGGCAACATGGCCTCCAAAACCACAGGACGCGAGGGTACCCTGCCCTTCGGCCGCAGAGGACACGACGCGCGATGCACAGGAGGAGGAGGAGGAGGAGGAGGAGGAGGAAGAGGAGGAGGAGGAGGAGGAGGAGAAGGAGGAGGAGGGGGAGGGGGAGGGGGGAGGAGGAGGAGGAGGGGAGGAGGAGGAGGAGGAGGAGGAGGAGGAGGAGGATGGAGGAGATTTCGCAGGGCCGACCTACTAATGGAACCCGACTGCACCGATGCGCCCCTCCCAGCGATGGGCAGGCCGTGCGGCACCAGGCGAGCGCTGCTGCGGTGGCATCCGCCGCGCGCGAGGCCGCCACCACTCCGCACACGCCGGGTGCGCTCGCGCGGGCCGGCCCTCCGACCAGGAGCCTGTTGTTCTCGGCGTGCCGCGGCGGCGGCCCCTGCGACACGCCATGCCTTGCCAGCCTCGAACTGTGTCCCTGTCCCTGAGATTGACGCGCCAAAAGGCGATGACAATCTCAGGGATCCGCCCTCAAAAAATAAGGGAATCCCCAAGATTGGCATCGTGATGAGGAGGTGCCCAGCATAGGGATAAGGAGATGTTCCAGGCTGGTAAATGCCCTGCTAGCTGATAGCCCGTCGCTCTGCCTCGCGAGGTGCGAGACTGGGCAAGCCTGTTGGACGTGCATGGCTGGGGACCCGCGCGCGCTCGGCGTGTCGCGCGCCGGAGCGTGTTGGGGGCCGGAGCTGGCGGAGCGGCACGCCGAGCACAAATTCCCAGATCAGGAACGAGGCCCCCCCATCGCTCGGACGTCCATTCCCTGTGTTTTTGTTTGTTTCGTGCGTAGCTTTTTCGCCAAATGATCAAGGATGCTCCTCGAAGGTCCTCGCCGAAGGGAACATGCACACGTCCGAGCGATGCCCTTTTTTCCATAAGTCAGACTTCGATTCCTCATCGAAGACACCAGGACCACCTGAGGCAAGCTGTGAAACACTTCAGGAACACGGAGCCCCTCCCCGACGAAAAGGGTCCCTTCCTCAGCGACCCGACTGCAGGGTCCCCTTCGGTCTTCAGGTCATAGCTCAGCGCTTCAGCGGCCGGTCGGGGCGATCCAAGCACCCCCGGAGCGCTCTCGGCGAGGCGCGGCTGCCGGACGGCATCCCGAGGCTGACAAACCGCCGAGAAGGAAGGGGGACGGCTCTTTTTCTGCAGAAGCTGCAGGTGCACGTGCTGAGCCTGAGAACGTCGCAGAGTCTTCCCTCGGCACTTCTGCAGCTGACGCGTCACCTTTTTGTGTGCCGAGTGCTCTTGCCATGGCGTTCCCCTGCGAGGCTTGCCT